ATGAAAAGCGTTGCTGAGAATGTGTGTTCTGGAACACTTAATTGTGCTCATGAGGAACCTGTACATAGACCAAGAAGCAGTTGTTCAAAGAGAACAAGGGGACAATGAACGGTAAAGCGGAGGGTCAGCCTAAAAGAGGAAGACCCCAACAAGATGGATTTTCACAGTGGCAACAACAATGAACTCATGCCTAACAACAATTGTGAGGATGGTGCCAGATCAGTGTTTCATTCTGTTGTGCATAAGGTCTCCATGAGTCAGAACCAACTGGACCACACTAACAACAATAACACAAGGAAAATATTGAATGATGCAGAAAGAATCAAAAGATGATAGAAGGAATACACAGAAGAATTGGTCAGTACTCAACTTTTTCAATAGTTAGCATATTCACTATAATGATGGAACTATGAATGATGGAATAATTCAAAGTCAAAGCCTACATGTACCTAAGGACAAAGGTGAGAAGGAATGGAAAGGTAGGGGAATAGAAATAGGAGCCAGAAGGAGGAAGTGGAATAACTGTTGTTCCATGGATGGGACTGCAATCATTGAGATGAAACAAAGATTGTAATCATTGAGATGAAACAAACTTTATTATTTGTTGAATGTATATCTGATGATCTAGTCTATAAACCTTCACTCAATTCACAATAAAAAGTTAAAAAAAAAGAGTTAGCATATGATCAAATGACAATGATATTGAAGGAAGAAGTCCAAGCTGCACTGGAGAAACTGGTGAAAAGCAAGGCTCCAGGAATCAATGGCCTACCAGTTGAAATGTTTCAACAAACTGATGTAGTGCTGGGGGTGCTCACTAGTCTAGGCCAATACATTTGGAAGCTACTTAACTAGCCAACCAATTGGAAGAAATACAAATTTGTGCCCATTCTAAAGAAAGATGACTCAATGAAATATGGAAATCATCGAACAATATCATTAATATTACATGCAAAATTTAGCTGTCGATAATGCAAAAACATTTGTAGTAGTACATTGATAAGGAGCTACCAGAAATTCAGTTTAGAAGAGGGCAAGGATTTCGAAGAGGACAAGGAGCTAGTGACTGGTGAATCTAACCAACTGCCACAGCAGAAAACCCATCAACTTAGACTGAAGGATACAAAGAATGAAAGGAAAGAATGCAATCTGCTTCTTGGAATTCTATAGGCAGGAAACAGGTCAATAGAGCTACATTTACTGGACTGCAAACCACAAAGCCAGCAGTTCAAACCTACCAGCTGCTCCTCAAAAACCCTACACAGAGTCACTATTAGTTGGAACTGACTCGATGGCACTTAATAACAACAACTAGATACTACTATGGTGCTGTAGGGGAGCGTGGTGGCTCCATATGAAAAGCACTGGACTGTGAAACTCAAGGCCAGTGGTTGAAACTCACAAGTCACTCCACAGAAGAAAGATGAGGCTTTCTGTTCCCACATAGATTTAAAGCCTTGGAAACCCTATACAGGGTCACTATGAGCTGGAACCGACTTGACGGCACTTAACAACATCATGTAGGGTAAACATTGGACTGCTAACCACAAGGTTGGTGGTTTAAACCCACCAGTACTCCTCAGAAATCCTAAACAGGGTTGTGATGAGTCAGAACCAACTCAACTACACTGTTAACAACTACATAGACACATTTTGTAGGCCTGGTGTGCCACTGTAGGATAAGCACTAGACTGTTAACTGCAGTTCAAACTCACCAGCCACACCGCGGAGAAAGAGAAGTCTTTCAGCTCTCATAAAGATTGATATCCTCAGAAACCCTATGTTGTTGTTGTTGCTAAGTGCCCTGGAGTTGGTTTCAACTCATAGCAACCCTGTATAGGGTTTCCTAGGAGTAGCTGGTGAGTTTGAACCACTGAACTTGAGGTTCAACCAGACCTTGCAATCCAGTGCTTTATCCCACAGTGCCATACCAACACTTCAGGGTTGTTATGAGTTAGAATTGACTCCATGGCAGTGAGTTGATAATAAATTTATTTAGTGATTGCTTGCTATGGTGGTTGAGGGATAAGTCATGAAAGAGTGTCAGGTTTCCAGTTTAGGTTACTGGATGGATCGTGGCACCACCAACCAAGATAAAAGTGCTATATAGAAGGAATAGATTTAGTGGTAGGGGAAATTTATAAGTTTATGGGAATATTGAATGACTGTGAGACATCCAAGTGGAGATGTTTATTAAGTATGTTGCTGTTGTTAATAAGTGCTGCCAAGTTGGTTCTGACCCATAGCAACCCTGTATAGAGTTTCCAAGGAGCAGCTGGTGAGCTTGAACTGCTGACCATGCAGTTAGCGTCTTAACCCACAGAGCCACTAAAAAGACTCATTCAAATATCAAGATAGCTAGGATTTTGTCAGTATGTAAGTGTGTCATAGAAGATAAAATCACCCAAGATAAAAAATATATATATATATTTCGGTACAGAACTTTAGGGAACACCACCATTTAAGGGCAGTTGGAGCTTTCCAGAGTTCACAATATAAAACAGAAATGTCAGCGACAGGGATAACGGAAGTCTGACTATGGTTCGAGTCCACTAACTGGTCTTTGGGAGAAAGATGGGGCTTTCTGCTCTTGTAATGATTTAAAAGCCTTGGAAACCCTATACAGGGTCTCTATGAGTTGTAACCAACTTGATGGCACTTAACAACAACAACAATCATGACTTACTCTTACTTGTATTGTTCATAGTGCTGAACATGTGTGCTTAATAAATATTTATTGAATAATTGGCATACTTCAGGACTATAGGATGATCTACACGACCAGTATAGGTTTACTGTTATCATAGTCACCATTATAATGGTAGTGGTTGTGTGCTGCTGAGTCGGTTCTGACTCCTAGTGAGCCTGTATAGGGTTTCCAAGGCTGTAAATCTTTATGGGAGCAGAATGCCTCCTCTTCCTCCTGAACCATTATAATAGACCAGGTAATCATACTAGAAATACGTATTCTGATAAAACCATGGCTGTAGTCTTGTGAATTTTGAAAATGAAAAAAAAAAAACCACACCTCTTTCCTTGGATTTTGTCTTCTGTTGGGTCACAAGGGCATATGTTTGCATATGTTTTTATAATATTTCTTTCTGGTTATAAAGATATAATGAAGTGTTAGTGTAGTATAAAATCATATTAAGTTGGGTGACTGGGATGGCAATATACAAGAAGGGGCAGGCAACATACAAGATGAGAGAGGTTGGGAGAAGAATGATGAAGAAAGGTGAAGATACAGGGAAGTTTGCAAGGGCTAAAGGAGCCAGAGGTAAATAGTGATATCTACAGCGTAGTGGTTACGAATCGGGCTGCGAACCTTAAGGTCAGCGGTTCGAAACTACCAGCCGCTCCGCGGGAGAAAGATGAGGCTTTCTACTCCCGTAAAGATTTACACCCTCGGAAACCCTGTACAGGGTCGCTATGGGTCGGACCCGACTCGATGGCACTTAACAACAACAACAACAACAACACAATGTTGTAACAACAGTGTTCTGTGTGTAGATACATGGACAGAGACACAGGCTGAATGGGTATGAGAGGAAATGTGAAGTAGGGCAACTGTTGCATTGTGGGCATTGCAATCTTTGAGATGAGGCAGGGCGTATCATTTGTTGGGTGTAAGACTGATGATCTTGTCTGTAAACTTTCATTCAATTCCCAATAAAAAGAAAGAAAAATTACTGAGCTACGAAGCATTTTTATAAGTTTCAAATTCTTTTCTCAGTGAAATGTATTACACAGCAAAATAAGCATTTTCACCTTTTTCTAAATGTAGGAAAAATATGTATCTAATAAAGACTGTAGTTTTCAAGAAAATGTAAAGTACTTCTGTTACCCATTTTATTATTATTTTTTTTTTATGAATTTCATCAAACAACTGAAGAGAATCTTGAAGGCAGCATTTATGCTTTGTTAGGGACAAACTTTTTCTAGGATTTCTTCAATTGTACATTAAATATTGAGGTGGGGAGGTGTCCTCTAACTCATACTCAGTCACATCTCAACTCAGCCATACTGTATATGTTAAAGCTGAAATTCAGGGGGAAAATGATAAAGACTGAGAAAATAATTTTACAAATGAAACTAAGTCACAAGGGAAGGATTTTGCAGCTTTGTTTTAAGCCATAATATTTTAGATAGATTTATGCTCATTCTTGCCACAAAGTTTAAATAATAAGATTCTTGTTGCCTATTTTTGCAACAAGTCAATTCTTGTTTGTGGCAGAATATTCTAAAATGCTGACTTCTTGTTTTGAGGTTTATTCATATAGCATATATCACAAATAATTTTTAAAACTGAAAGTTAAAATACAATAGCTGTTTTACAGTTATTAAGACGTGCTTAACCAGATAGTCAATAAGCCTGCTCAACTTTCAAATTCACCTTTCTGTCAGAAAGCCTACTTGTATATTATACTGGACTATATGGAGCTCTGGTAGCGTAGTGGTTATGAATCGGGCTGTGAACAGCAAGGCCTGCAGTTCGAAACTACCAGCTGCTACGCGGGAGAAAGATGAGGCTTTCTGTTCCCGTAAAGATTCACAGCCTCGGAAACCCTGTTCAGGGTCGCTATGGGTCGGAACCGACTCCATGGCACACAACAACAACATAACTGTAATACAGATCATAGTCACAGGTTATTGACAAATTAACCTCTAAGAAGGATCTAAAATTTTACGAGCAGCACTACATTTGGCAAGTATAGGTAGCGATAATGTCTACTACTTTGCTTTATTTTAGCAAGTTATAGCATAAACATCAAAGAAATAAAATTGCTGTTAGGAAGCTACATTATATTCAGACTTGTATTCATAACTTTGTTTTCTGCTGAAAATCTAATTAATCTTGCCCAACAATGGAACAATTAACACTTGATTTTTCTGAAAACCAGTTTGAAAGAATGCTCCCAGGCTGTCAAGGGCTTATTATCACTACGAACCATCTGAAATTCATACAATGTCCATGGCTTTATGTAAACTCTTTTACTTACAAATTATCCTCAAGTCTCTTCAAGGAATCCAAAACTAATGAATGCACACTATCTAAGGAGCAGGATCCAAAGCAATTTAGAGCTGAAATATATTTAATTTTCATCACCCAGTCATTATGCAGCTTCCTCTTAACACTGAGAATTAAAGACATAAAAAGAAAAGAAAAGAAAAGAAATGTTAGGCACACAAATTCAGCATATTGAGTTCTATTTGGTGTTTCATTTTGACGTTAAATAATTAGCAACTCCAAATTGCAGTGAAGCCTTTAATACAGTCAAACAGTAGGAGAAAGATGAGGCTTTCTGCTCCCGTAAAGATTTACAGCCTTGGAAACCCTGTTCAGGGTCGCTATGCGTCGGAACTGACTCGACGGCACTTAACATCAACAACACAGGTAAATTTTAGTCACTTAACTATAGTTTCATAAATAAATTATGGAGGATATTTAAATGGAAAAACAATTTAAGGATATTAGGGTCAAATTCTGCACTATAGATTCAGAATTAATGGAATAATATAGAAGGATACCATTTCAATATTGGCACCATTGTTGTTGTTAAGTACCCTGGAGTTGGTTCTGACTCATAGTGACCCTGCGAATCTTTATGAGAGCAGAAAGCCTCATCTTTCTCCCGCGGAACAGCTGGTAGTTTCGAACTGCTGATCTTGGGGTTGGCAGCTCGACTCGTGGCGCTACCAGAGCTCCATTGCCAATGAGCCGATTCTAACTCATGGCAATCTCATGTGTGTCTATAGGGTTTTCACTGACTGTGACCTTTTGAAAGTCACACTGTAGGCCTTTCTTCTGTTGGCATCACTGGGTGGATTTTAACGACCAACATTTCAGTTAGCAGCGAAGTACAAAATAAATGATTTGCACCGCTTAGGGGCCTACTATTATCCTTACATTGCTGAAACAAATCTGATCACCCAACTGGAAGGCTCTATTTCATATAGTTTTATATGAGTCAATTCATCCAAATACTTTGAAAATGGAAACCTGGGAAATTTACAATCCCAGCTTATAAGTGAAGATGAGACTAAAATAATCTTTATATTCCTTGCTCATCAGTTCTCAGGACATTTGAATTAAAGGTTTAGGGTTAGAGGTCACCTCCGCTGTCTCAAAATTCTTCTCAGAACCTGGAAGTCGCCATTTTCATGGCATTATATTTACTCAAGGATGATGGTATATTGGAGTCCTGGTGTAGCACTATAGGATAAGCAATGGACCCTCAAGGTCAGTGGTTCAAACCAAGCAGCCACTCCTTAGAAACCTACACAGGGTCACTGTGAATCTGAACCGATTCTATGGCACTTAACAGCAGCTTAAGCAATGTCATATTTATAATCTTATTTATCCACATTGCCAAATCTAAGGTACTGTTGCAGTTAAGTGCTGTTAAGCCTATACCAACACAAAGTGACCCTGTACAGGGTTTCTGAGGAACAGCTGGTGGATTTGAACCACTGACCTTGTGGTTCATAGTGCAATGCTTATCCTATACTGCCATACCAAATGTCTATCTAAGGTACTAAGGACATAAAAATGATTTAAGTAAAATTTCTTTACCTATGGAGCTTGGATTCTAGTTGAGGGACAGACATGTTTACAGCTCTTGCAGTGAAGTTTTATAATGTGTAGAGAGTGGAGAGGGAGGTTTTTTTTTAATTTGTTTTTTTTTTTCCCCCATGCCACACTATGTTAAGTTTTGGACTCTGAAATTTCACTACTACTTTCTTTAATTTATACAATGCTTTTCATACCAGCACTTGCTAACTACACCCCACCTATTAAATATTCTGCTGATGTTGACTTCTGGAACATTTTTATAATGGCTACAGAATTTAATTTCCCTTTGGTCTTATGACAGGTTTGAAGATTTCTTGGTGTAACAAAATGGCACAACAACCAGTCTATGCAAGAAGGCTTTGCAAAGTTTGTAGAAAAATTCCACTGTCTTTTTTTTTTTTTAAGTTTTTACTGTGAATTGAGCGAAAGTTTACAGGGCAGATCATCAGTTTTACATTCAACAAATCATATACTTTGTTCCGTTACAATGATTATAACCTCCTCCAGGTATCATCAGTGAACAGTATTTCTCTCTATTCATTTTAGCTCTTTTTTGTTTGTTTGTTTAAACACTCAGGCATATGTAATTTAAACCACCAAAGGGCACATTCTGCAAGTCTGCCTCCTGGCTGCCAGCTCTCAGTCCCTCTCTATCCATCAATTTAGAGTCCTCAGGCACTCCCTCTCTCCGTGTCCACATCTCTGTCTCCATCTCTGGTGTCATTGCTTCTCTGGATAGGGTCCCACATTCTGCTTGTGCTCTTCTCACTTAGTGGTCCTAGGGTCTTCTGTTTCTGGACTGTAAGATTAACTACTGCCCAGTTTTTGTTGCAAAAGTTCTACCTTTACAACTGTAACAGTCGTAATTAGTCATGATAACAATTTATCACTATTGAATCATAAGAATCTTGTCCCCATATTTTTTCAACACACCTGTCTAGACAAGATGAAAACTATTCACTGCAGGTTCTACCTTTCCTTGCACACTCTAAAACTAAACACCCTCTTGAAATCTTATAAGCCAGTCACTTTGTGCCTTTATAGCACCACCATTTTAGGTAGCAAGTGTCTAAGTTGCCTGTCCCTATCTATCCTGTGTACAGAGGATAGCATTGACACTTGATGGGAAGACTCCTCCCCTCTCTGTTGGTATTTTGAGCTACTA